GTTGTGTAACGTTCACGAAGATCCGGAGAAGACAGATGACAGATTAGTACAAAGTGATGTTTCGAGTTTATGCACCAGGCGACAGCAGCTTGCGTACTGAAAAGCGATGCTTTGAGCGATCCGGGGTACGCATTGCAGACGACTCGGCTACTATCTGGTTTTATGCTGCTTTCGGAAAGCATCTTAAGCCAAAAATGGTGCCGGGTTGATCATTTGGAGGAGTTTTCGTTACTTCGTTGGGAAAATCCACTCTCTTCCAAAGTTATACTTCATCGCCCGGTTGACTTCGACTCTCGGGCAGAGCATTCGCAAGATTTGAACTCTGCACCACATCTGACAGGCTCGAAGCGAATAGAAATGACGCTCGCAGTTCTTGATTCAGGAACGCCGTGCTACTTTTCAGGGTTTGATGGGTGCAACCTAAATCAATCCAGCTGGATTGGAGAAGAGTACATCATTTTGTACTGGGATTTGGTTTGCATCTGTTACTTGCCCGAGCTCAGTTTTCATCTGGCTAGTTCGAAAAAACGGTATACGAGGGTGCATCGTATCGTGATCACCGCACATCGCATTTCTGACCTTTCTCCTTGGCGTGAAGATCGGCTTTCCGCCGGATTTACCCACTCACTAACGAGTTCACTGATTATAGCACTTTATTCACGTTGAAGGATGCACGATGTCGTCACCGCGACAAGAAAATCCGCGCCGTTGGCTAACATTCATCGATCAATCTCAAACGTCATTTTGTTTAAAACTAGTTCTCAACTCTGTAAATATGGGCAACTTTCCTTTTAGCATGAAAATCCGACTTACCCTGTGCTTACCTCGAGGCCCTAAGTAGTTCTGACACCACACCTCACCATTTTCACTAGCCCTTTCTGACTCTATTTTCTTGGTGATGCGTAGACAATTCGCTTTCTTCATTTCAGCTTTCTGCATCAACGGCTCTTTCTTGATCCAGAGTTTCTTGGATGGTTTGTCCCTGGTTTGCTACTCCCAAACGTTTCAGCTCACTTGAGACTCTTTCTAGCTCCATGACGTTGGACTCCTTTATCCGTGCGCACTCTTCAAGTGTTGCATTTACTGTTGATTGGGCAGTTAGTTGTCTGTAGCAAGAGTAAATAAAAAAAAACCGAGTATTGCCATACACCTTGACTGAAGCTGATCAATGACAGCTTTTTTGATGCTGTATTTGGCCTCTTCACTGAGCATTGACGCTTTAGTTCATTGCGATACGTTTGATCTGCTTGAAGAGCATCGCAGTAGTATAGAATGGTCTATACATTAATTTGAGATAGTGAGTCACGTTACCTTATATAGTTCATCTCAGTTTGAAGATAACCAGTAGCCCAAAGTTCAAGGAAAAGCATAGCAATAAGTGTTCTCACTTTAGCACATTGGAAACTATTATTTTCCAGTGCTATTGTTGAAACATCGCTAATGTAAACGTTGTGTTGCAAGAAGATTATCACTATGGGCCTTTAGCGATAAGTATACCATTATATGCGACCTTCATCGGACCGCCGTATTCGCGTTATATCCAGATGTAAGACCCGGGGTTGAAGCATTCTGAGTTTATCCTACACGTCAACGCTGATTTTGCAGCTATTGACGGAAGGTTTTAGTCAAAGTGACATTTTCTATATATCACTTTGTACTTAAACGTCATCTTTTTTCTTTACCTTGAAAAGTCCGATTCTCGCACATAAGTTGTACACCTCATTGAACAGCAATTGCAATTATCCTACAAAGTTGGTCAATGTTAATCTCTGCATTTCCTTGTTCTGCGTGGGAAAGATCAATATTCAAATATGTCTGGCATATATTCCACCAAAATGCAACCAAGCGGTATTTTTTACATCAATTTCAGGGACATTTCATAACATAGAACGCTCCTCAACATAGATCCAGTTCTCATCATTCAAACCCTCGTCCTCGCTGTCTCGCATGCAAATTATCACTTCGGACGACTGTGTCCTTCAATATAAAATGGTGGCAAAATGGTTCGTTAAGGTAACTGACAACCAGTATTCTCGAAGATATCCATATGAAACTAGCCCTAGGACGTGTTTCCAGCCTTATTTCCGACGTTTAGCTAGATTTCGAAATGGTTTTAGAGGCTACCGTGTTGATAGTGGACAATTCTGAGTTCTCAAGGAATGGAGATTTCCCAAGAACCAGATTTGAAGCTCAAATCGATGCAGTAGAGTTTTTGTTTCAAGCAAAACGTAATAGTAATCCTGAGAATTCCATTGGATTGATATCTTCTGCAGGCAGTAACCCTCAGGTTTTATCGACTTTCACGCCTGAATTTGGTAAAATCCTCGCTGGTCTGCACGAAACTTCGATTGGCGGAGAAACAAGATTAAGCACTGCGATTCAGATTGCAGCTTTAACACTGAAACATCGTCAGAATAAGGTCCAGCATCAGCGAATCATCGCTTTTGTGTGCAGTCCATTGCAAGAGGATAGAGAGGAACTTCTGAGACTGGCGAAAAGACTGAAGAAGAATAAGATCGCTGTGGATGTGGTCAATTTCGGCGAAATTGAAAGTAACACGTCCATCTTGGAGGAATTCATTCAAACTGTCAATAATCCTCAGGAAGAAGGCAGCCATATTGCCACTATATCGCCGGGGCCTAGACTCCTATATGAACATATCGCCGCCTCTAGTATAGTGCTGGAAGAGGGAGCAGAATCTGGATTTGGCGGTGTTGGCGGCGCTGGTATGGGAGGCGGTCAGGATTTCATGGACTTTGGGGTTGATCCCTCGATGGACCCGGAGCTTGCACTGGCATTACGTTTATCAATGGAAGAAGAACAGACAAGACAGCAAAGGCTTAGACAGGAAGAGGGGAACGGCACGAAAAACGAAAACCCGCCTTCTCAGTAGATCAAATGTACTCGGAATGACGTTTACGACCCCTTATCAAGTGCGCTTTCCCCGGCTTCCCGTTGCATAATCCAGTCTCTACTCGCGTGCCAGTTAACTTTCGGAACTCAATTCTAGCAGGGGACAAGGTGATCATAAAAGCTCTACAAGACTCAAAATTCGTATCTGTGTGCGTGTGTGGGCCTAGTGGCTTCGGAAACCCGATGGCATGAAGTGGGTTCCTGGCTTCCGGTTCCTGGCGTATATTAATGCCGATTGCGACTCGAACTGCGCACAGAAGACAGAACAGCTACGCAGAATTGTGGCCTGGCTCAACACATAGATCCCCACTTTTCTCATCACTCTTATAGTAAATATAAACGTTTCTTGGGACTCTTCCATAAAAGTGACAGTGGATTGACTTTTACAAAAAGTCATGCACAAGAAGCTTCACAACTTGCATGATGACTCGAACAGCACTAGTCGATTTCAACAACATTGTTCAACGCTTGAACGCAGCTACAACTGGATAACTTAAATTCCTGTCGTCCAGTGACAGGAAAACACGTCGATGATCATTAGCCTATTATCATGCTATCAGTCATATATTGGAATTTCAAGATGTAGAGTAAATGCATTTCAAAAAGTACAGTTCCCGCTGAAAAGCTGAACATTTCACGATAGCCAGGCTTGTTGCAAGGCCCATATTTATGCCCCAACATGATTCTGGAAGCCAAAAATCGCCTACGGCGGAACTTTCTGGCTCTTTACAAGGCTCGTTACAAGGCTCATTATTAGACAAATACGACCGTTTTAGCTCATCGAACATGCATCTTGGCAAGATGAGCTCAAAAATGAACATCGAAAACAACACACTAACGATAGGAGGCTCCAGTGGAGCCAGACGGTTGGGGAAACCTCAACTAAAACTCAACTCGAATTTGGGGCGGAATACAAAATCAGCATTGAAGTCCGAAAAAGTTGAACCAACAACAATTTTGAGCCCTGGCAACATCGATGCGAGAGATCCCGGACTGGATGAACTTTCCGGCTTGCAATTTGCAGCCGCTCGCAAACAAAAGCGAAATTTTCAAATGGAATTGGTGCTACATGAGCCGAGATTTTCTGAAGAACCGATTATGTTCGACCTTGCAAGTATACCTGGGATAAAGGAAGGAGATTTGGCAGAATTGAAGACATATAGAGGCAAAAACAGTTCCAAGGGTAAAAAAATCTATTTTGTAGTTAAGGGCTTTGAGAAAGACTTGCGGAAAAGGTACAAGGACACTCAAATTTCTGTGCTGTCCGGACCTTTGCAGCATTTACTAGGGTTACCCACGAGGTCCAAAGTTTGGATAAAAGCGAAAAGTAGAGAAGAATGCCAGGCGGATCTGGTTGAACTTCATGTCAGAGATTGTTTGGTGCACCGTGGCGATATGTGGATATTTTCGTCGGAGCTCGTTGGAGGCTGTGTTTACGTAGAGCAGAAACTTACATTTGTGGATAGCGTCAGAGCAACCGTGAAACAGATATATCGTGATGGGAAAAAAGTCTTATCCGGCTACGTTGGAGACGAAACGAAGATCGTATACCGATCAGAATCAGCGCGGCTGGTTTTCCTTATTCAAATTACAGACGAGATGTGGCACTTTGAGGAAAACGGTGACATCTTCTTTTACAAAGTTGTCAATGCTCTATTCCCAACTATTTTCAAGGAGTGGAAAAATATAGGCACTCATCACACGATCACCATTGTCTTCTCCGCTTCTTTGGATTTATCAGATGTTCCATTCATTGACGTACCAGATGGTGAGAGGCGACCTAATGATGTGAAAGACTATTACCGAATTGTCGTCGATCAAGTAAATATCGTTCATTGGACTGAGATCATGAAGACTTTGAGAAGGGAGTTTTTCAAAATTGCCAGGGATCTGAAAACATTCAAACGAGCGGACGGAGTTTCGATGCTGCGAGGACGATTCGCTCCAGCACCAAAATCTAACATTTTGGAAACCATCTGCATGGCGACTACGTTTTTGACAAATCCATTTCGGCAACCGGATCTCAGAAGAACAGGTGCTCACGTCATCATCATAAGTCCGGGATCTTGTATTTATGATGTTGACTATGAATTGTTAAAGGCCACAAGCAAGAAAATTCAGTCTATCGAATTATCTCTTGATGTCATTTGCTTGGGAAGACCGCCTCTGCATGTCGTGCCTCTTTTGAGATACCGAGATCATGACAATAACCTGCGATGTTGTGCTCCATCCTGGATAAATGTGTCATTCTGGCGGCACTCATCTCATTCTAATGACTCTTGGTATCCAAGATGTAAGATGCACGATCTTCAGATGATGGGACTAACAGAGACTGAGATGAATGAAGAGATTGCCATCGACTACATGAAATTAGGGGACGATGTTGGCTCAATCGCTGAATTAATGAAGCATTACGACTATCGAGCTTTCACGGCTCACAGGGATATTCAGGAAGAATATGAACCACCCATGACTTCAGAACTAATGATGGAAAAACGTCGTTCGAAACCTCCAAGACTTTCAAAGATGGCATCGAGGGCTGAGCTTGCTTGGAATCCTCCAAAGTCAGCTTCCCCGTTGGTTGAGCCCACTGCCCACCTGCAAGTGTTTGGTGACCTCGCACACACGCTTCATGCAGCGCCTTCGGTGAGTATTCAAAGTAACCAGTTAAACTACCAGGATCTTGACAAGAAAAACGAGACAAGTTCACGAGCTGTCAATCAGCTCAAAAGTGTTACAAAGAGCGGCACTATTGCTCAACGCATCGCTTCAAGGTTCCGTCCTGACTTAGAGAACAAGTCAAAAAAGGACCTTAAAGCCTCACCCTCACAGATTGCAGTGCCATCTCTCAGCAACGTAAACGGGAGGCACGATGACAGCGAGGACGATACCAGTCTTAGTGCTGCTAGTCATGTACCCACACTCAAGAAGAATTTTTCCTCGTTACAGAGACCCATGAATAGGAAGGGAACCTTTGATCTCGGACCTTCACCAGCTCATTCCCTTCCAGGTTCTCCTTCTCACCCACCAAATTCATTTTCGAACAGAGCTTTTCAGCGCGCGTATGTTGAAAGCTCATTAGCAACTCTTTATAGCTGGGTGCAGATCGAAAATCCTTCGAGGCCTATGAGCTCAGAGAGAGCAGGTGCCTTGATTACACCACAGTATCGAGACGTTTATCCGAAGTATGTTGCGAAAAGATACACGAAGTGGAGATCACTAACAACTCCGGCAGAACTCCCCGTCACCATATCAAGTTTTCCGATCAAAAGCGACTTCGAGCAGAACTTCACTTTTACCAATCATTCAGTAATTTTGAATTCAGATCAAACGGTGGAAAACCAGACAGCTTACGACCTACTTAGGGACATGATATATGTCAGGCTCATTGCAGGTTTCCAGATCTGTATAGGATCTAGTGTGGAGAAGATTGAAACATCAAAAGGCAACGGGAGCGAAAGTCGAAAAGTTGCAAAATATCTCACACGAGAGAATTACATGAATGTCAAACTTTACATGATGTTCGCAGAAGAAATTCACAAATTAAGCTGTGATTTTGATGGTACTATAGATGTCCAGAGGCATATTCGCAAAGATTTTATTGATCAATCAAACCGAATACCTACATACAATCCACAAATCAAAACTCGATACGAGAATTCTTACCGAGATACTATGACCGATCCCCTGAAGTTGGAGAGAGAGAGATTCAATTGGAATCAGCTGGACCAAATGCTCGCAGGATATGACGACGCGGTTATGGAGAAAAATAAAAAGCAGTTCAGGTCGAAATTCGTTGTTCTTCCGTCCGATATTTCCCCGAACACCTTCTCCTCCACCATCAATGGTCGGGCGGAGGTATTGACAGCTGAAGAAATCAGGCTGGAGGGATTAAGGCGTCTCATTACCACAATTTACCGATCGCGGTACAAAGGTGCGGACGAAGGTTCAGGAAGTCGTTCACGAAAAGAGGAAATAGCGCCTGAGATCCTTTTTTACACCGGCTCACTGTTCAGTTTTATTGACGAGCAGACTGAAATCCTTAAAATGGCAGCACCGGCTAAAGGGGACAACATGTTTCTTAAAGACAGCGATGCGCTGTCAAAAGCTATTGATATCTCAGAGCTCGCATATAAGATGCAATATGCTAAGAATCATTTAAAGTTGGTGAACCGGAAATGGCACTGGAAAAAGCATCACAATTGTTTTCTAGGTCTTGAGTTGGTCAACTGGTTAATTGAGAGCTTCGTTGACATTGACACTAGAGATGACGCTGTTGCTTATGGGCAAGACTTAATGAATCAGGGGTTGTTTGCCCATGTCGAGAATAGACATGGTTTTCTGGATGGGCATTATTTCTACCAAATAACTTCAAAGTACGTCAAAACTTCAGAACCTAAAACTGCAGACGTCGACGAGGAGACATCAGAGCTGGTAAATGCGTACAAGAAACGCACAAGCAAGGAGAATAGTTTCGGTGATAGGGAATCTAAGAACACTGAGGCGGCAGGAAGCGTTGCTGGAGCAGAAAACGACACTGAAAGCGAAAAATCTGTTGTACTTCTGAGTAATGTCATTACCGTGAATGCTGATATTGGAAGGAGATCTTACAAGCCAGAAATTTGCAAAGTTCACTATGACAGGGTTCATAATCCTGATCATTGCTTCCATATCAGATTGGAATGGCTGACTGCAACTCCTAAATTTATTGACGATCTCATCAATTCTTGGGCAAGACTCTGTAAACGGTACGGCCTCAAATTGGTAGAGGTTCCGTGGAATGAGCTGTGTACTATCCCTCTGTCCAATCCTTTTCACACGTTCGTGGACATAACCCTGGCTATTAATCCGTGGGAAGACCCAGATTTCAAAGATGAACGTTTGATTGAACAACGTCCCTTCTATTACCACACCTACCTACTAGAGAAAAACGGATTTTTCATTGATAATCGAGCAACTAATCTACTGCAAAGAAGTATTGCGGGCCATGAAGTTGTTTACTCTTGGGGGTTGCCAAAGTTTAAATATGCCCAGTACATCCACTTCACTGGAGCGTACATTGCAGAAATAAGAGAAAACGGAAATCTTTTTTTGGCGCCTAACAACAGACATCTATCAAGAGTTAATGTTGATTCTGTGATGCTAAAGGCTAAGCAAATTCCCCGTTTTGTGCTTGACTCGCAGAAAATCATGTTGGCTTTCAAGAAAACATGTTTAGACTACGATAAGCTTCACAAGCTTTTCGCTGAAGCCAAACGGGCATGGCAAGAGGAAAGCGATTTCGTCTAAGTAAAGGCCATGGTCCTTACTTCAATTTCATGTTTCGGGCGTTACCCATAAGCGCAAAGTCTTAGGTTTTTCGGGCTACAGGCTGTCTATCTATAGAAGTGTTCAAAAGTGCTAGATTGTGTATAGTGTTGTGAAGAATTAAAGTCTTTGAGCAATCTTGAAGACATCGGCCAGAACACCTGCAGCTGTCACATCGGCACCGGCACCGGCACCTTGAACGATCAATGGGTTAGGATAACGATCAGTTTGGAAGGAAACCACGTTGTCGGAGCCCTTCAAAGAAGCAAAAGGGTGCGCAACATCGTACTTTTCAATTCCGACAGAAACCAAATTGTTAGGGAAGTCCACCTTACCAACAAATCTAAGGACTTTGTTATCTGCGGCAGCCTCCTGCTTCAATTGTTCCATCTCATGATCAAAATCGGGTAGCTTTTGCAAGTACTCCTCACCAGAGGAAACGCTTTCCAATGGTTTAGGAATGAGAGAGTTAACGGGGAAGGAAGTTGGGGATTCGACCTTGAATCCTGCGATTCTGGCCAAAATGGTGACCTTTCTGGCCACATCCAAACCGTTAAGATCGTCTCTAGGGTCCGGTTCGGTGTAACCTAATTCCTTAGCCTTTTTGACAATGTCGGAGAACTTTTGGTTGGAGGACGAAAACGTGTTTAAGATGAAGGAAAGACTGCCAGAGAAAATACCCTCAATTTTCTGAACCTTATCGCCGGTGTTAACAATGTCGTTCAGAGGTCCAATGATAGGCAAACCGGCTCCAACGGTGGCTTCGTGGTAGACAAGGCCGGACGACTCGTTGCCGTTGAAGATTTCGTTCCACAAAGAAAGACCCGAAGAAAAGGCCTTTTTATTTGGCGTTGCAATGGAAATACCGTTCTGCAACAAGGATGGATAGAAATTTGCAATGGAGTCATTGGAGGTGTTATCAACGAAAATGACAGGTTCTGGAGATTTTTTCAAAAACTGCAAAAGCTCGTCCAAAGACAAGGGAGCTTCTGTGGTCTTGGCCAGATCAGACTCCCAGGATTGCAAGCTCAATGGCTTGTAATCTTTGGAAATCAATGCCTTTCTTGACGTTGAAAGCAAGATCAAATTGTAAGAAATTTGGGATTTTACCGAGGCCAATTGTTTCAAAAAACTCGACCCCACGACCCCAGCGCCTAGAAAATAGATTAGGACGTTAGTAAAACGATCGGATTCTCTCGCAAACAGAGTCTAGCAAAATTTCCAGCATTTCATATATCTGAATGAATATATACTTAAATCATTCGCCAGACCGTCGTTTGACATGGAGTTTTGCCGATACATAGCGTATACTTACCGATAATTGCAATGTTCAAAGTTTTAGAAGCCATTGTGAATGTAACAGTGGTGATAACGATGAATTCCACTGAGTGATGTACCCTTCATCGGGCTCAAGAATTAGTCGAACTACTTAACCAATTTACAGATGTATAGTGAATTAATCTCGACGAGCGGGTAACGACTGGGTACTTCATTTCCATAGTTTTAAGTACCTGAAATTGTACCCGTTTTCCACAGCTTTGTGATCCGTTTTAACCCGTTTTCAGTAATTTGAGTACCCGAAAGTATCCGGAAAGTACCGTGACAGACTATTGTGCTTGTGAGAACTAACGTCAGAATTCACTCTGACACCCGTGTTCAGGTTTTAGAAGTTCATAGGGCCAAGACTCGATCGAAGACCCCGGATTCGCTAAAAAATCAGCCTTCAAATGTTTAATACTTATTCTGGTTATAAAGATATTTGCAGCGGGCTAATAAAATTTCATTCTTCAATTTGAATGTGGCAGTGATGGGAGCTGCTTCCGTCCCATCGTGATGCATATTATCAGCTTCAAATTGCAGAACAACCCACAAGCATCCTTTTTTTCTCTTTTTGAATATTAACAGCCCATTGATTCTGATGTCTGGATCAAGCTTAGTTTTGAGGAATAACGAAATGGCTCTTGGCTATACAGAGTTTTCGGTCTGTTATTTCTGACCTTTGAGTAGTCTTTTCTCGACCATTGCGCTTATCTGTTTGACGTTTCTGACCTTCAAGTAATTTTTTCTCAACCAGTGCGCCTATCTGTTTGTCGTCTCTGTCCTTCATGTAATCTTTTTCTCAACCAGTGCGCTTATCTTGTCAAATGCATCCTTTTTACTGACCTTTTTCCGGCTTGAGACGGTCTTGGACTTCGTGCTGGTTGATTCTGGTTGACCTTCGGCTGCTTTGGCTGGTGCAATCATAACTATTGTGACATTTTCTTGACCCGCTTCCGTTTTCTCTGACACGAACGGCTGGTAAATGTACGAGAAATAGAGAGCCATACATATTCCGTCGTACCCGCTGTTGCCCTTCTTGAGATGTACAGCGTGTGCTAGTGTGGTGAGAAAGTCTGGGTCATATTTAGCGCGATCGAAGGTTTGAAATATTTCGTCGCTGTACTTGATAAATTGGGCATAGTTTAAAGCAGGAAGCAATTTCTCCAATGCCTGCTTTTCGTTGACGTCAAATTTGTGCTGAACGGCTTGGGAGAAGAGCCGTAGCGCCCGCTCACTTGCCAATCCAACGTTGACCATGCTCGCTCCGAATTTTTTCAGTTTTTTGGCAACTAATGCGATACTCGAATAATCATGGCGACAGTATAACAGATCCAAGTAAAACATCACGTATTGGTATGTGTAAATGAAGTGCTTCCCGGGACGCTCAAATTCGGGTTTCCATATGTTTACCAAACTTTTATTAGAGCTTTTCAAAAACATTATCTCGTGCATCTCTGTGATAGCACCGTCTAGGTCACCAAGTTGGTCAAAAAGAATTCTAGCGATCCGATACTTGGGCCGATGGTGCCACTTCATCTTGTCCAGGGTCACCAAAGTCCGTAGCAAGTCCAAGATTTTCTCGTAAAAAAGCTGTCTATTGTCCCCGCTTGCTTCGAATCCCCAAAAGAGGTCTTCTTTCTTGAAAACACTGTTGTCCTGACGCAAAAAGTTAAGGGCATCTTGCGGTGAGATGATTCTCTTTCCCACTAATTTGAAGCACGAAGTAACCAGAAAGTAATGTGGCTCAAATATCATATCTTTTGTGTGGGAACTGTCTTGTGACAAGCTACATCCCTCTAAAAGCACATCTAGACCTGCAAATTTGAATTCCTGCATACTCCTTTTGAATATGATCTTCGCAAAATAGTAGAAATTTTTCCAATTGCGCTGAGACCCTTGCAGCCCCATCTGAACCTTCTCTATTTGGATCGCCTTCGACAGGCCAACAATAATGGCCTGTTCAACGTTATAGTCACTGACAGTTCGAGCAATCGGAGAAGACCGACTGCATACTTCTCCATCGGGCTTCAATTTCATGGCAACAGGTGATTCCCATTCGAAGCATGACTTTTCCATAGGCTTCAAAAATCCATTGAGCAATTCTTCTGACAGAGTTTCGAGAAGCTCCTTTAATATTTGATGGAAATCACGAAGCTCATTGTCAAGCATACTATTGTGGCTTTGTTGCATCGCGATCCCCAAAGCCATGAGGTAGCACAAGATCGACTTCCTTTGAAGTTCCGTCGTGCCTTTTCTTTTTTCGGGCGTCGCCAGCTTGTCAGAAGTCCATATAAGGTCATCCTCCACACGGAAAGAATAACATTTGCCTAGTAAGAACCAACTTTCGAAACGGTCTGTCTTGTAAAGTATGTCGGTTTTGAGCGTCGTAATGATAAAGTCCAACTCGGATGGTCGCGCTTGCGTGGCCTTCTTCCGTACTTTGTAAAGGTTCAAAGCCTGAATTGCCGCGACGTAAAAAATACCAGTGTCAGCGACGCTTTGCAATGAATCGTTTGGCTTGATAAGCTCGATAGAAATTTCTCCACTGTAAGCGGTTCTGAACAGGTCGGTTGTTATCATTGACTTCAGGTATTGGTCCAAAAAAAAGTCGTTACGAGATAATATGTGGTTGCTAGAAACGTCAACTTCGCCAATCACTTGAATGATATTATCAAGTACCTGCTTTAAGTTCGTCTTATTTCCACATGCAATCAAAAGATTTCGGTCTTTGTAGTGAGAATCGATCAGAAATTTACCAGCAGCTACAGCGCTTTTAGGATTCATTTCTTTTCCCTTCGTGTCATGCTGCTTCACCGTGCTATTTTCGCCACTGACAATGAAATGATATTGACACCAAAGAACTTGTCTAATTTGCTTGAACCCCTCTTCGTCGCTCTGATCACACAAGATCTGCTCTGCAAAATTGAGGTAGGATCCATTGGACGCATCACAGAACTTGAAGCCGCCCAATAGTTCGTGAGAGGTTTCGATTAAATCCGTCAATCCAAGTTGTCGCTTCATCGCACTCGAACTGCTTTTGTCTAAAATATGGCAAAAGTGGATTGTGGATGTAATGAGGTCCGTAAAAATGTTCTTTAGCTTACCTGACGATTTCACAGCTTTGCTGAAAAATGATTTCAACGTGAAGTCCTTTTGGCAAAGACTCTCATAAAATATGATGGGATAGATAAGTTTAACCCACTTCAAAATGATCAAAAGACCCGATTTTAGTTCTGTTTCATGTATTACTTTCGCCTCCAGCTCTTCCGAACTTAGATCGAGAATCTCCCTTGTGAAGCCGCCCACACAACTTATCGTGAGTAAAAGAGTCTGTTGTCGCTGCAAATGTGATTGCGCTCTATAATTTGGAGAACATACCTTCCCATATAAAATGTTCAGAATTCTGAAAAAAATGGAAACGGCGAGGTTCATATCCCTGCGACTATAATAAGATATCAATAGTCGCCATAGCTTCACTTTAAGGAGAAAGGGAGAGTTTCTCAAAAAAACTTCCATCGAATCCCCCTCCAAAGGTTCGGCGCTCATGCTGTCTTCAAAGACTAAAGCATTTTTTATTAGTTCCATCTGCTGTTCTGTAGCGGCGTTATTGTTCTGACTCGAAGCACTGATGTCAATAGATGTAATCTTTCGCACAATTCTCAATCTGGATAGCTGACTTTGCACAGCTTTTAAATTCAGCTGCGGAATGGTATCGTAATTAGAATATGGGACATTCACTGTTGGTGCATGCTTTTCAATCAATGCCTCTATTTCTTGCAGACTATCAATGAGCTCATCGTCCGCAACACCGACTGTATACTGAAGAGAGCAGAATTTCGCCCATAAAAATCGAAAACGGGAGCGTTCATCTTGTATGAGTACATCTTGAAATTGGAAACTCCAAATGCTTATCTTCCTTTCCAGCTTATTCTTTTGAGTCTCGAGCTCATTAATTTTCTGGCCCTGGAGCCTCTTCGCATTGATACCGCTATATATATTGCCCATCATGTTCACAAGTATCTCGTAAACAGCAAGTCCAAGGGAAAGCATGGCAGGATTGTCTTCGGTCATCATGCAATGTAAATTGCCTTCTAGGCTCATAACGAGAGATTCCACGGCTTTAAAAAGTAAAGGACTCCAAAACGTGTCGACGATCAAACACCTTCCATCAGAGCATGTGGTCAGTAAAACATCCAGTAATCTAAGTCTCACTTCCTGAAAATGCTGATTATCCGTGTTCGTCTTATTAATAAAAGCATGTATCTCGTCCGCGGGTAAATCTGTGAGTGACTCGATTGGACAGTTGTCTCCAGATAATACACTTGTTCTTATAAGCGCATTGAGCTGGAACGAATCCTCACCTTCGTTCTCCGCATTTTTCGAATTTTTCGTGTCCGTCTGGTTCAAAAATTCGCTATGTTTGTTTGTCCATGAACGAAGGCATTCGTAAAAATCGGACATTGCACAAAATTCTGGTGCCTCCTGGTCAAGATCCGACGGACCCATTCTTTCCACGCTCAAGTTGAACGGGAAATCAAGACTTGTAGCAATATCGTTGAGCAAATTGAAGAAGCGCTCATGCTCGTCCGAAGTTCTAATGCCGGCTACTACGGGAGGCTTTTCCTTGAACCGCTTACTAGACCTTTGCGAAGGCTTGTCACCTTCTTCTGATTCCAGCGACCTTTTGTTTGCATTAGCTTGGTCATCAGCTCCAAGCGTTATTGTCGATTCCTCTTCACTTTTTTTAGCCCCCCCCTCGGTACTTGCCTCGGAGATAGCCAAATCTTTAGTTTTTGGTATCATTTGCGACTCTTCAATTGGTGCCGGCTCGTTGTCGGCTTCCTTGAAAATAAACTTGACGTGCTCCAAAGGCTCTTCTGCTTCATTATACGGATCAGGATTTCGACTGAAGAAGTTGGACGATTTATACTTTGGTAGAAAAGATGTGATGGCTTCTGCTACAGCCTCCCAGCTGATCTCATTAATCTCCACGCTCACTACGTTTGGCTCTTTCAAATTGATGTTATCCTCGGCTCTCATCTGCTGTATTTGTGAAAGAAAAGGAGGCAATTGAGCAGGTCCCTGAGGTTTCGAATCGATAAATCGATCCAATTGCGTCACGAAACCCGTTTGTAATGAAGATCCATCGTGCAGATCATTGAGAAGTTGCATATAGCGAAGGATGAAGCCACGAAATTCAGGAAGCACAGAGACCCGTCGCTGCAAAGCCGTAGTCAGCTCTGTATTTTTGACAAGTTCATACTCGAGTATAAGGCGCTGCAGTTTCGGGCTATCAAAGCTCATGAAACTTTCCAGCAAAAGTCTCGACACTGCAGAATCAGAATCTCCGTGTTGCAAAGCATCCAGCAGATTTTCCACGGTACGCAAAGTGTATTCTACGATATCATGCGGCTCAAGAGTGTCGTATTTGTCCTGCAAAAATTGATAGTAAAAGACACCGCGATTACGATATGCGAGATATCGAAGAGATTCTAATATTGCAGTGCGATATTTGTACTGGCCCCACCTATCTGGTTTAATAACATCTATGCTGAACAGTTCCTTGAATTTTTCCTCCGCCTGCTCGAATCTCTTTGCCTTCAGGTGTAGCAAAGCGCTTTGGTAGACCTTAAAGCTTTCTTCCACCTGCAGCTCACGAGAGTGATGCTCTTCCTCCTGGAGAGCTTCATCTGGCGTAAAATTTAACGCTGTGAACAGGGACATGAAGTGGCTAGCAAGGCGTTGCCGTCCCTAAGGCTGGTATAAGCGATGTTAAGTTGTCGCGATTGTTATGCAGAGACGGTTGATGAGAAGCTGAGGCTTGATATACGGGGATCTCTAAAATGGTCGTACTCCGTGTGTAGTGATGACAATGTCTTGTAGACAACCAGTGCATTTTATAGTTGTTGAAAGCTCCAGATCAGGCATAAATGAAAGCCGTTGTCATATTTTTTAAGGTGCGGTTCTCTGAGTCGGTGCCAGTCATTCAAACTTTCCGGAGTTCCTTTCCTTAGCGACTATATTTTTGTGTCACGTGACTAAAGTTATAATCAAGTATGTTTGCATGAAAGTATACTCACTCCAGCACCAGCTGATTTTGATAATAAGAAAGATCAGTTTCTTTGACCGAGTATTGATATCTTCGATCTATTTCACGGTCTTGCCCCCTCTGTTTATGGTTGCAACAATTGAGCTTCAATTAATTATCATTGCGTGGCCTTTCTCGACTTTACCGAATTCAAAAATTCAATTATACTTTTCACGTACTAAACAAAAAATCGAAAGTCAACGCAGCTTCACCATAAAGAAATGATGCTTCTTTCTGAGAGTTGTGCTTATAAAATGCAATCTCGCATGGAATGAACCCTCTGCGACATGGATTTTCATGTCGCTTTTCTTCGGTCACGTCACGTGTAACACCGGATGTGTCAAATAATGACAGTGTGAACTTTTGTGATATAAAACAGCCGGTGTTGAAAGCTGCGTTCTGTATGATGCAGGGATGACGAATCAAGGGAAGTAGTCGTCACAAAGAGGAACTATGGCTTTCTGCATCAGCCAGTCCGGCATAGAAAGAAAAAAAAGCAAGAACGACACATCAAACACGTGACCATCAAGTGACAGCGACTGAGAGAATAAAAGTGAGAGAATCGTCAACCTCCCGCCCGCTGGTGAATCTCCCTCTAAGATTGAAATATAGAAAGGAACCATTTGATTTTCTCCAAACCTGGGTTTCGGCGCTCAAATTTGAGTAAATGGATCTCCTTTCCAAATCACGATCCCTATTTCGAATCTTTTTCCATCTATATCAGAATCAGGACGCATTTTTCAGAGACAATATTTTACCTTCAAGAATCGAGCAACTTTTTTTCTGTATGAAACACCACCGCTAAGCATTTTTCTCATTGATTTTTAGCAGCTCACGAACTTTTAGGCTGTGATTAATTCAACAAACTGGAGTAGTTTCGTGACATCTTGGATGAGCCACCCAATGTGATTTCGCACACAAGACCGTAACCATATCGTCTATTTCTACATTATACAATGTGGATATTTACGCTTCCAGGTGAGTTCAATACGCCTTTAATTCGAATTATCTCTCTTTAAACATTCACTGCACTTAAAGATTCAGAATTTGATTCTATCAAAACATTGCTCACTACCCCTGAAAGGAACACACATTCTTCTGGTCAAACCTTATTCCTAGGGTCTCAACAGACCCAATTGACCGAGTGTTCTCTCAGCTTGACCCGTTGTATTTCAAAATCACGTGATGAGCATAAGATCATTCGTTATATTGATGGTGCATTGTAGGTGGAAGCGCTTTGAGAGACGCTGACAACTCGACAAGCGATGAGACACCTCGTAGAGCACCTCCCACGTATAGGCACCGTTACTATCATAGTTGAAGGCAGCGGGCTGTATAGGGTGCAAAGTTTGAAATCCCAAACGGTTGAAATAGTCGACGAAAATGAGTCATCTTTCAAATTAACGCTACCTCATCGCATACAAATCAATAGTGGCAGGAAAGGTTTACAGACCAGTGGTCCTGGTTGCCAAACGCTACGTTTGAAAGCTCTCAAAGATACAGGTACTGACAAGGTTCACGATGACCGCTCCGTAAATGAAGCCATGATGCAGTTTCCTCAGAAATGGATGCGTAGCGATCTGATGGAAAGCAGAAATTTCGTGATTAGATGCGCCTCTTGCTGCTCTTCTTTGATCACCGATGATGATTGCAGTAGAATTAGCGATTTACCATCCGAGTTTTGGGCAGAGTTGATGGATTACTGGCACTGTCACAAGCCGACCATCACCGATAAAGCAGAAGTTGACCGCTACTCAAAACTGCAACCGCTGTCGGATGAACTACTGGTAGGAGTATCACTGTTCCAGGTAGCGAAAAGCTGGAGTACCAAGAAGCTAAAATTTGAAAATTCGGTCACACGGTGTGCCAAATGCAATTGTGCTTTGGGCCTAATATCGCAAGATCCAAATCTGTACAACATCAATAAATGGAAAGTACAATTAGTGAAAAATGGCAAATCTGATGACTACCCAGCTGAGCTACATATCGTGTCGACTCTGCTCAACAGTTTGAATTCCAATGGAACCCGTATAATAAATTTGAAAAGTCCTAGCGGCGATTGTCATCTGTTGGTTTGGATTTTCGCAGTGGGTGTGAACGTCGCCATCGACAGTGATTGGGTCATGACCAATTGCATTAAGATATATTACCAGACGGGATCTCAATCCGAGCACCCGTCTGCGGGCCCAAATCAGAATCTGGATCAGGTATCAGTGGACAAAGCGGTCCTCGATTTGTTAATTGAGAAGCTTGAATCCATCAACAGAAAACTACCCTGTGCTGCGCAGGTAATGAACTCTTGGAAGCTGGGTTATCTGAGTGCAGCGTAATACATTCCTCTTTTACAAAGTTTTACATGCTTCTTGGACATATGGAACTACCTGCTTACGACTTGCGTTAGTATTCAATTGAGCGAAAAACGAACAGTTCTCACAGGAGGCGTCCAGAATTTGGATAGGTTGCAACTTCAAAATCGTCGTTATCCTTTCGGCAATTTTAGAAGAGACCTCAATGCTTGGCCGTTCCTTTGCATAAAGAGCAAGTTGCCGTTGAAATTGTCCCTTTGAATCCGTCCAGCTCGTTAAAATCACCAGTATATCCAACTCTCTCTCGTCCACAAACTTCTCACACGCTTCTACAATTTGTTGATCAGGAAACTGTGTATGAATCCATCCAAATGGTTTAACAACGGAGGCAAATCCACATTTCAAAGAACCTTGTGTTTGGGAAAATACGAATTCTTTATAGTCCTTTCGCAAAATGTCGCGCAATGAAAGTCCAGCAATGTCGTCCTTGGCCTGGCGAATTTGATCGAAATAGACTTGGAAATCGACATTTGGAAGCAAACTCGTGTAAGTTGCATGAGCTTCACGATCAGGATGCTCCACTTTGTATGCCATGTTGCTTGTGTCGATGAGTAAAGCTCCCAAACACAACGACAAGGCATCGGGGCCAATTCTAGCTCCACCTGCACTTTTAAACATTTCGTTCCAGAAATTGAATACTAAAGACGAGCAGCTTCCAGCTGGCGTGACAATACGAGGTCCACTACGGCGCTCAGGTATGTCTTTGTGAAGTCCTAAATCTTCGTGATGGTCGATAATTCCGACTACAGAGTCTACCACTTTTTTGGCGAGACTTTGTGACTCATTGTGATCTACCAGAATTGCCTCTATTGGTCCTTTAAACCGTTTACGCATATCCTGCAGGTCCTCGTGGAAATACAGTAAATTGTGTGGAATGTTACCCTTTTTCAGGACCCAGACAATATCTCTGCGTAAATTTAGATCTGCTCTCAAAATGTTGACCACGGGTACCACCTGTACGCTAGGATCTCTTATATAGCTAAAATAGGCATACGTGACGGCCGAAACGACGGAGTCGAGATCGGCGCTTTCATTACCGCAAACGATCAGCAAACGGGAGGACTTAAACAGCTCTCCACCTGTATATGAGCCTTTTATATACTTTAAAAATCCTAGCAGTGTTTCAGTCATATTGCAAGTACTGAGATGAGGAGAGAATCCCTGCTTGTTCGGAGTGTTCGAGTTCAATGAAAGAGCAGGTCTAACCCACTATTCATTAACTTATATATCAGTCTCGAAATCACGTGATAATAATGTATATCTGGTCCATATTTACCAGGTTCCTTCGAAATTAACGAACGACACGTAGCGAAAACCTCAATGAGATTTCACAACGTTTTTGAAATTGGCTTGGTATCAATAACGAATTTTTCTGTCGTTGTTTTGGTCCATAGCGGAGAATATGGGAAGTCCAGCCTCAACCTGAACATACGTGTCAGTGCATATACAACTATATATAAAAAAAATTCTACTATCGATGAAAGGTTTCATTAGAACCAATTCCTATTCGACATATCTCGCAAACTACCTCTGACATTTGCCTTTTGTTCAAAATGCCAATAAGTACTCATATCACTCTATACTAATGTGTCATCCAATGAACTAAGGAAGAGCATTATAAATGACGGGAAACTTCTGCGAACAGGGTGGGTGATTTTCAAAGCGACTAGTCCTTTTAAAAGGTTGATTTTATCTAGCTTGCTTTTGGGAAGCTCTTCAGCTCTCTCTAGGATCTTATACTTAGCTGGAAAAACATGTATATATCTCATAGAAAGTTTTACACTGTGTTAAAGGCAGTATTGACAAGCTTGGAGTTCTGAAAGCAGCTCAGTGATGTCTCAGAATTTACAACTCGAGGTGAACGGGGAGGGACGTTTTCTTGGTGGATAAATCGCTAGTGACAGAATTGACTATCGACCTTGGTCATCGTAGACGGATACTGTTAATAGTGCATAAGTTATGATATATTACTGCATATCTGCAAGTAGCTACTCGATGCTCGAGATTCGATCAGACTAAAGCCTTGGCGCTCGACCAGAAACTATGACCAAAGTCGTTTTGAGAGACCAAAAACAAGTCCTAGAGCGTCAATTGAACGATGCTTACTCTTATGTAGAACTAGTTGATAAAGTAGACCTCCTTCCCGCGGATTATGGCGAAAATGAACACTTCCAGAAAAACGTCTTTACAATGGAGACCCACACCGGTACCCCCATAGGATACGTTCTGGAAAATGTTGCGGATAAGATGAAGGAAATAGCGGGCGTAGAATTCAATAAAGTTTTCGAACACAACGAGCAGAGTCGATCTCTTAGATTTAGGTCAGTGGATTTTCAGGTTCGCAACGACGATTTGAATGCTTTGGGGACAAAACTGAGATCTAGGGCGGCTTTTGAGTGCCTCCTAGGCTGGAGAGACGAGCATTACGCTGTGTACTGTGAGAAACGCTCACCTTACGTGCTCGTGGAAAGAGCTCTTTCTGGACTGCTTGGCATTGTGACGTATGGGATCCACGTTAACGGCTTTGTTCGTGACTCGAAAACCGGAGAAATTAAAATATGGGTACCACGTAGGTCTCCCACAAAATCCACATGGCCTTCCATGCTTGACAACGTTATTGCAGGCGGGTTGGGCTACCCATATGGTGTGTTCGAAACCGTGATAAAGGAAGGCGAAGAGGAAGCCAACCTACCAAAGGAACTCATACAATCGCACATAAAACCTGTAGGTGCCGTGTCCTATTTTTATTTCCAAAGCGAGGCAACTGATGGGCAGGAAAAGTTCGATACCCTCTCTTCGTTAATCACTGGTGAAGTTGAGTACCTCTTCGATCTCGAATTGCCGCCAGGAGTGACGCCTAGCCCCAATGATGACGAAGTAGAGAGCTTCTCGCTACTTTCATTACAAGAGACCATTGATGCTCTCAGAAGTGGGCATTTCAAGCCCAATTGCGCTTTGATAATGCTGGAGTTTTTAATAAGACATGGCTACATCAATCCCGAAAACGAACACAACTACCTGGAAATAATCTCCCGCATTCATCGACGTCTGCCATTTCCAACCCGCAATTGATGACAATTAGTATGTTTTTAAATTCGAAGAAGTCTTTGGAATTCCATATATACATCTGCTTATTTGGAGAAATGCAGCTTCATGTTAAAAAATTCCCTGCTTTTAACCTGGTCGACAGTCAAACTAATGTCACCATAAACAATGGGTGAGAAGAAGACGAACAGCCATACCAGCCCTATAGATAAAGCCACAACCATCACACACAATGGAACCAGGCTTAGTTTAGGGTCCGATGCATGAGGATTTGCAGCATCTTCCTCATCTCTGGAAAGATCAAGTGATTTGTTTTCGGTGAAGATAAACTCCCAAAGGGCTGCCGAGAACATGGAAGCGATCAGGTGGGCAGGCAAATAATGGTGCAGGAATTTCTGTCTTCCCATGAGGAAGAAAGGCAGAAAGTGGCACAGCCATGCAATGAACAAGAATGAAAGTGGGCCGTACAACTTTTCGCGGGCCATTTTGTTCAATGGGAATATGCCACGACGTCTTACCACAAGATCGGCTGCCACAAGTCCACAATAAATCGCTAGCGCAACAACTTGAGACCACCAACCAACCAGATTTCCGATGAAGTAAATCTGCTTACGGTCTTGATCTTTGGTCCAAAAGGATACTCCTGATAGAGAACCTGGCCAAGACTCGGGATTAGATGCAAATGGGTGTTCTGAAGACAGTTTGTTGTTGTGCTCAAACATGAGTCTCTGCAACTCCGACCATTTCGTAAAAAATGAAAGTTTCTTGACAGGTTTGTGGATGTAAACTTTCCGGGCATCGTCAATGTTTATGATTGTGTCCATGTACCATGAATTTTCTGGATCCGCAAGTTTTTTGTTACCATTAACTTCTTGCTGCTTGAACCCCCATTCTGGAAGGAGCACGTCGTTGTGGGTCCAAAGAGCCACAGAGGTATCCGTATGTAGAATTCGGAATAATGATGCTTTTGTTTTCAATTCTTGTTTTTCGTCACCTTTGCTAGCAGATTGTAAACGAAACAAAGTCTCATGACTATTGGGCCCGAATGCTAGCTCCTCGTTTACTGTCGTCACCTCTTCGTTGGTGGGGTAAAGTGGAGAGGCAACATCATGTGCTAGCAGATACGTACCAGTCACAATGTGTCTGAAACGAACAACATCATCCAAATGAACGGGTTGACCTTCATTTGATGCCAATTCCTTTGTGGGCAATACTTCCCATTGGTTGTTGACATCTTCGAAGGTATAACCAGTAACTTGCTGGCCATTTGAGGATACCCGGCCATCGTCGTAGCGAAGAGGGTATAGCTCTGTATGGGAATGGAGGAAAGCGTTAGTGTTCTTGTGCTTCATGGTGACAATATCGTAGTAGTTTACCTGTTTAGCCTCTTTGGCCAGTGGAGAATCCGTTAGAGTTTCCTGGAACTGAGGCGACATAAAGTCATCACCGGGACCAGATCCAGTCAAGATGGAAAAATGGACATAGAACCAAAAGAGGTAGACAATGAAGGGAGCGAAAATCAAGCCATTGAGCCTCAGCGACACATGTCTGGCGAAAACTCTGAGAGACAAACCGGCTCTAACGTCGAGCAATTGCCACAAGTTGAAAGCTACACCAACTCCGATGGCCGCGTACGTCATGACACCGATATATTTGGTGGACATAACGAACGATAAAGAAAGTCCTGTAGCGTATAGCCACCCGTACCATTCAGACGAGAATGGGGCCCGCAATTGGATTTTGTAGAAGCGCACATAACAGTAGAGAGACATTGCCACCGCGATGATGAGTGTTGCATCCAGTAAAATCAAGCGGGAATCGATTACGTGGGCGCAATCGACCGCAACGAGCATTGCGGCGAGAAAACAAGTGATAGCCCTGAAATTGAGTTCTTTCACGGTGTTGAACACAATTGGCACAGTTAGCGTTCCCAAGATTGCACTGAGAGATCTATAGGCAATGAAAGGTGCCGGGTTCGAATCATAGCTCAATCCAATGTCGTCAAACTTGAAAGCTCCGTTATAACCAACGAGCCATCCGATGAAAGCGATCAGCATTTTCGCAAAAGGCGGGTGAACGTCAAAAAAAAATGTTCTTTCGAGGTAGTAAGACGCAAATTTCCCAAAATGGACCTCATCAAACACAACTTCGCGAGGATACGGTAGGTCCTTGAACCTCACGGCAAAAGCTATAAGAGTGGCAGTCCATTGTAGAGCTCTATAGGTCGACGCCTTGTCAGGAAGATCTTTAAGAAGCCACTTTTGGCCCAGAAACTCGTAGGAAGCTGGTGGTTGCGACGCTGTTTTCCTCTCCTTAGAGGCAGAGTCGGCCTTCTGGTTCTTCACAGTTTTCGAACCAGCCATTACTGGTGAGAATACGGTTCTCTTGTTTACGTTTTCGCGTCGTTCTTGAACAGGTGTTTGGATTGGGTTAAAGTAGATGGATGGACCTTACGAATCTTTGACCAGGTAGCCTTTTCCGAAAAAATCACGTGCTATATCTAAGTGCGAGTAGAGCTGTGAGTAGATAAACGACTGGATAGTTGGATAGCTGTCCGACAAATAAGCCGGTGGACAAGAGCTTCTCAAGAGAGATAGAGATGCGATGAAACCTCGAAAAACACCCATTGCAGAAGCTGCTCTCTGTATTTCTGTTTTGTGATCACTTTGTGAAACAGAGAAGAACTAAGAGTAGCGAAGTAGGATCAATGAAAATGCCATCTCATGATTTGGGATGCTTTTAGCTGGTATTCACTGACGTATGCTCTGTTGAAGCTTGGATATATGTAACAGAAACGCTCTATCGCTGGTCTGCTCTTGTCATTTTCTCAGTTTTCACTCTGTCCTCTAACCAAACATCTAGTCTTGCATCCACTTGTCGAGTAGAAAATATATTTCGACCCAGTTCATATACCGATGAGAGAGAGAGAGAGAGAGAGAGAGAGAGAGAGAGAGAGAAACAAGAAACGTAAAACCAGTCCATCCCAGCTATCGAAGTTGCAACCGGGATTGTGTATCTATTATTTGAATCAATGTTTTTAGGACGACCTTCACTACGGGTTTCCAGAAGTTCGCGAAGTGTCGCGACGGCGGTCAAAAGAGTTGTCAGTTCCAGGCCACCTTCGTCCACAGCCAGCAGTGCCAATACCAGTGTTGTTGGTGCATCTGATGCTGAAATACCAAAGGTAGTGAGCAAGGCTGGAGCATATGGACGGCCTCTTAGTCGGACGTTCAAAGGGTACGCCTTGGAGACACCAGAAACCAATGCTGGCATTGCAAGCTCCCAATCACAGTCAAATTCCGAAGTCAACTGGGCTGTTTCGTTCCAAGGCCTTGGGTCTCGTCCGTTCGACGACAAAGTACAGACAGAATTGAGCAAGCCTCTTGCTGCCGAAGACATCGAGGTGAAACCAGACGGACTCGTGTACCTTCCAGAAATCAAATACCGGCGCATTCTGAATAGAGCCTTTGGTGCTGGTGGATGGGGACTGGTACCAAGATCAGAAACCATAGTCACTGACAAGCTTGTCACCCGTGAATACGCTCTCATCTGTCATGGCCAGCTTGTAAGCTTGGCCCGTGGAGAACAGGACTACTTCGCCGAATCCGGAATTCCTACTGCTACAGAGGGCTGCAAGAGTAACGCCCTAATGAGGTGCTGCAAGGATCTTGGGATTGGGTCTGAGCTATGGGACCCGGTGTTCATCAAGCAGTTCAAGAAGACTAATTGCGTGGACAAATTCGTGGAACATGTAACCACCAAGAAAAAGCGTAAGATATGGCTGCGTCACGACCGTGAAGTTGAATATCCTTATAAATAGCCAAACTGGCACAATGGCAGTGACTGAAGCCCTAGAGAAACACGGAAAGTAAAGTCTATCAGCCATAGTCCAAACAACCAACATCCTGTATTCCTGTAAGATAGTGAACGTATATACGTGAATAGCCCAAAGAGCACCTTGTTTCTTTCTTCAGCTATATTGACAACAATTTCATTATGAACTAAACAGCCGTTCCGATAGTGTAGTGGTTATCACGTAACCTTCACACGGTTAAGGTCCTGGGTTCGACCCCCAGTCGGAACATGTTTTTAATTTTTGTCGAATACAATTTCACAGTATTATATTTTGACATTGGTCTTCCTTAAAAAAACCAAACTTACTGTCAAGAGGAACACCATTTCCCACATCTAGTTATGCTTGTGGTGTTTGTTACGAATGTTCTTTTGGCTGCAATTAGTTTCGGCCAATGCAGAGCAGTGATCAATCCACAGCAAAGCTTTCTCCTCAATCCTGGATCACAGAGTTCAATTACCAGAGAACTCCAGCTTGGCGAATTAAACTTCCTACACACAACTGATACACATGGCTGGTTGGGGTCGCATTTAAACCAAGCCAATTATGACGCTGATTGGGGCAACTTTGTAAGCTTTGTGTCGAACTTCAGACACAATAAAATCGGACCATCCAGAGATCTCATTTTGATAGACACAGGGGACAAACATGATGGAAATGGACTCAGTGATGCTACAGCGGTCAATGGCGAGGTTTCCACGAAGATTTTCAACGAGCAAGACTATGACTTGCTCACGTTAGGGAATCACGAACTTTACACCGAGGAGAACACCGTTTTGGAGTATTTTTCAACAGCAATATCTGACAAGTTCAAAGATGCGTATGTTTCCAGTAACGTTGAGTTTGTCATGGAAAATGGTCATTTGGTGCCTTTTGGGTCGAAATATCGTTACTTCAAAACGAAAAATCGTAAGCTCCGTATCCTGGCATTCTCATTCATGTTTGATTTCCAACGTGCCAATTCGAGAGCCAAAGTAACATCTGCAATCGTTTCTCTTCAACAAAAATGGTTCAAAAAAGTTGTTTCCCAATATCCAGAATCTGAAATAGATGTGATTGTCATTTTCGGTCATATGCCGATTACCGACCCAGATAACCACGAAATTAACCAGGTTCATTCTGTTTTCCGGACTCATTATCCGAACTCGATAATTCAGTATTTTGGTGGTCATTCCCACGTAAGAGACTTTGCGATCTTCGACAAATACTCAACCGGGCTACAAAGTGGGCGATTTGCGGAGACTTTGGGGTTTTTGTCGATTGACGACGTCAAGACTAGTTCACCGAAATTCGATAGACGTTACATTGACTTTAACAAAGCTCAATTTTCGCACCATTCGGGGTCATCTTTGCAAACCGAGAAAGGTGCGAAACTATCGCAGAAAATTGATCATTTAAGAAAAGAGCTGAAGCTCAACGATGTTGTGGGCTATGTCCCGTCGACATTTTACATGTACTCCAAGCCAATTGACTCGAAACACAATATTTATAATCTGCTGACCTCAAAGGTCTTGCCAACCCTCAAGTCAGACAAGACAGATGAGTCAAAATCTCGTTTCACCATCATTAACACTGGGTCAATCAGATATGACCTGTATGAGGGCAATTTCACGAAAGATACGGAATACATCGTATCGCCATTTCCTAATGACTGGAACTTTGTCGAAGTACCGTTTTCGCTGGCCGAACTCGTAGCCGCTTATTTGAATGATGGACCCGTTTTACTAACATCGATGCGGCCGCCGGAGGTTCGTAAACGTAAGCATTTGCCAAGAACATGCCCCTTCAGATATGACCCCGCTCTACGAAAGGGCTACACTACCAGCGATGACGATGGGTGCAATGGAGACGATGTTATCCACAACACTGAACTAGTCTTTGAAGTACCCAATGTCGTGCAGTCCGTGGAATTGAAGAATACGAATGCTGACGATAAAGTGCATTTGGTTTTTTACAGCTTCATTCAGAGGGATATCTTACGAGCGTTAAACCATCTCAGCGGGAAGGAGCAGACATCTAAAAAATACACAGATGCTGACTGTTGCAACTACGGAGGTCCTTCAACTAAGGAGCTTTTGAAACAGTACATAAAGGGCGTGTAAACCTAGCAACGAAAAGAATCAAAATCATAAGACCATGAATAAATTCCGGCAATTGTACGTAAACGGGACGTTGTTAAGAACGTTCACATCTGGGATCTTTCAATACATATTAATGTCCCACTAGTTCCAAATATTAATATAATGAGAAGTTTTTAACGCTATTTATTGCACAGAGGTAGTGAGTTGATGTGTTTACAAACCTTGTTGAGCTCTTCTGCGGTCACGCTCTTCAGAGATAGACAGCTTGATACCCTTACCCTTTGGCAACGAGATGTAAGGCTTACCGGCTTCACCGATGACGAAGACGTTAGACAATCTGGTGACAAAGGTGTTGTCCAAAGAGTCCTTGATGTGGACCAAGTCGAAACCACCTTCGTGTCTTTCTCTGTGGACGATAGAGCCGACACGACCCAAGTTACGACCACCAGTGACGTACACTAGCTTACCGGTGTCGAACTTGATGAAGTCAGTGATCTTACCAGAGGCCAAGTCGATCTTGACAGTGTCGTTGACCTTGATGTTTGGGTCTGGGTATCTGATGGTTCTACCGTCGTGGGTGACGACGTAAGGAACACCCTTCTTACCCAATTGCACCTTCTTGACCTTACCCAACTTGTAGGAGGCCTCTTCATCGGTGATACGGTGGACAGCAAATCTACCCTTGACATCGTACACCAATCTGAAGTTCTCGTTGGTAGCTTCCAAGGAAATAACGTCCATGAAACCAGCTGGGTAAGTGATGTCAGTTCTGACCTTACCGTCAACCTTTACGTGACGCTGCATCATGATAGCTCTGACTTCACGACCGTTCAAGGCGTACTTCAATCTGTTTCTCAAGAAAACGATCAAAGGCAACGATTCACGCAACTTGTGAGGACCTGGGGAAGGTCTTGGGGCGTAACACCCGGACAACTTGTCCAACAACCAGTGGTGTGGAGCTGCTAATCTCTTTAGATGCTTCTTTCTGTTGGGAAATGATTTTGTTAGTAAGAGTTCCAAGGATAGAGACTCATGGAGAGCTAAACAATGCAAGAGCCTTAGTAAGGAAAATGATTTCTATTCCACTTCTATTCCATTGAGCTGAACAAAATGGATTACAGCCCAGTTCTTAAGTTCATTACATGGAATGCACATCTCTATTGCCCTCTTGGTTGGTCACTGAAATTCATATCCAAAAATGCCGGTAAATCTCGCAGGTTTTCGCTACTTGGGCTTGCTGTTTAGCTTACGGTCTAGCGCAGCATCAAATCGCTCACATACGGTCCTCTAGCCATCTTGTCTTATGGGGATTATGGTATTTTTGAGAGACTAGTTGAAGTTAGCACACTGTAGTTAGATATGTCTAATAATTTTGAAGTGGTAAAATTTCACACACCGGTGGGGTCAAGATTCGGCGAGTCTGCTCCGCCGCCAAGGGAATCGGAAGGCTAGTAGGAAATAGCACGAAAGTTGCGTGGGAGGTATGAGTCTAGCTCTCCCTGTAGCGGGCCTCGCGAAGGGATCCCTAGGCGGAGAGATCGCTACCGTCCCGGCGGAGCTGGGACCTGCTGGACGGAGAAGTGATCTGGGTTGTACTATTTTTCACATCATTAATAATAACTTTTCGAAATATGAAAGATGTATGGGTGTTGGGACAGTCTCGAGAGAACTTATTTTTGTAAAGCTACATCGGCAGGAAGCCACTACCGAAAGGGGTGAGCTTTGCGAGGTAGACCTCACAGAGGTTTGAGGCCTTCGGATCACTCCATATTAATGAGTCACCGTGAGAGAATCAAACCCAACTATTGAAGTCATTCTTCCATCACTAGATATGGGCTTTAGTATCAGATGTAGTATAAGTAATGTCCATCTTACTGCGACTGCTCGATCCCAGCTTAGAACGTACTTTTAGCGTTGTCTTTGACACTACGTACCAAAGACGCAGTTGAAAGAAAATCCCAGATATCACTTTGTAGCAATCTGACGTCAAAAGATATTTGCGTATATGATGATGTGTTTCATGCGGCGGGAAAAAAAGGTAAACAAGCGTTCGTGACACAAAAACGGCTTCAGAGTATAAATAGGGAACACGGTCAGTTTCTTGTAGTACCCCAGTTCCAACCCCTTTCTGAGAAAAAGGATGAAGGTTTGGCGGGGTAGTATCATGTTTTATATGTATCTCTATGTAGCACGACAGCCGAAGTAGTGTACACGATGCAGCAAAGCAAGCTTGAAAACGGCGCTTTTTGGAAGGCGCTTATTTTTCGTTGGCGCTCAAATGTATCAATTGAGGCCAAACTCATGCGCGTTTCTTCAAGACACAATAGTCATTGACCTTTTTGCTCGAACCCCTCAACCAGCTTCGAATGGAGTATCTAATCACGTTAGTTAGTAGGAGACGCTGCCATTGACGAAACACCAGAAATAGCACCATGTGTAAAATTCGGAGTTCACATCCGGTTCTCGTATGGATTTCGGGTTTCCCAGAGATAAAGCAAAGCACCACGCAACATAATTCAACCAGGAAGCTTGCTGATGTTGTATTGTCGGCTTTTCTTCGAGCTAAAGCGTTCAAGAGAAACTAACCGTGTGGTGGCAACGACGTTTATCTTTGAAAAAACCAAGCACGTTGCCTAGTGCTCGATGGTGACTCTCATATAAAGATGGATCCCCGCTGTCTCATATCAACTTAGACTAGTTCTGCAAACTTCCACCCAAAAATTCTCCTCAAAAATGATGAATGCGTTACCGTCGCATTTTGAGTGCAGAAAGTCTTCCCGCCCTCTTCTGCGTGGCAAGACCAAAATAGCTGGGCGTGCACACTTTATCGAGTGTCTTTATTTTTTTCCACGCGGACTTGACTAGGTCTCAAAGCTCTATTTCCTGTGGGCATATGAGCGGTATCTTCAACCGCTTCACCAAGCACCAACAGATCCTTCCCACGACACCACATCTGAATCTTGTGTTTTTTACAATGGCGGCGACAGTTGACACATAGAAGAGTAACCGTATCAAGCGCACCACAGAGACCAGTTTTTCTGGAAACGTCAAAAGGATACGTCTAAGGTGTCGAAAATAAAAGACTTCTTGACGGCGAGCGCTGAAGATTCAGCATTGCTGGACCTTCCCTGTTAAGAAACTGTATCTTGCGCACACGGAAAGCCTTTCAACTGGTTGTCTTGTCACTGACGTTAGTGCCAACAAAAGATTGTGAGCTTCTTATGTTCCGAGCGAATCGTATCCAAAAGGTTCAAGCAATCTCGTTCGACTGGAGATGTAATGTGCGTTATACTTCCCATTCGCTTTCCGGATTTCAATAGACAACCGTTGCCATTGTTTCCAAATCTTTCTCATGTGACCTGAAAAGTAATTTTCAAGTGTTCTATAACGAGGGGGAACAGACAACTTAAATCAAAAGTCGTGGTGCTGAATGGGTCTCGACGTTCACTACAGTAACAGCTACATTAGGTCTAACTGGGAAGAGACAAGCTCGAGGACTTCGAATAGCGAGTTCATTCGATTGTGTTACCTTGTCGGATAGATAATCGGTGGCCCACGGCATCATTATTTTCTTTGTGCTGGGAAACTAATTAGAGGACCGAATTTAAAAATATCGAGAAGGATATCTGCAGGGCAAGACGACCTCTCGACTTCGAATTTGACGATTGAATCGCGTAGCTCTTTCGGGTTGAAAAGCTTTGCGCGGTTGGTACGGCAAGTATCTCTATAATCTGAACAGTTTTTTGCTCCATCTACTTGGAAATAGAAAAGCACGAGTTTAGATAGAAAAGCGTTATTCACACAGATAGAGAGTGGATCTGGGTTTCAGACTGTCAAAGGAAATTTAGTTTTTTATACTGGATTGCTGCTGTCATGATGAACTTTTTCGGCACCAAAGGTTTTGGTGGCCAACAAGAACAGAATGCCTCTAATCAACAAGCTCCGGTACACTACCAACAGCAGCAGCAACAATCACAACAGCAGCAGCTGCAGCATTCTCAACAGCACCATTATAGACACCAGCATCAGGGCTCTGGTACGGAAAAGTCTAAACTAGCTACAAATGGTCTTTTTCCTACTTTTACCACCCAGACGGCAACGCCTACGACGGCCGTCAGCGAAAACTCTTACGCAATGGGAACTACAGGACTAGCTTCCACACAATCTGATATCGCTCTGGCGCAGATGAAAACAATGAGTAACCAGAAAGAGGCACAATCACAGCCTACAAAAGCTCAGTACCATGACTCTTCGCAGTCTCATTTGAGTCCTGATCAGCCTCCTTTTCCTTCTTCGGAGTATAAAGATGAGCAACTGGGGCATACAACTCGTGAACAGCAACTCTGTGCTAAAACCTCCGATGGGAACACGTCTGAGGAAAGAGACGTGGTGACAAACCTAAAATCTGACCCACAGGAAACGGGAGTTCCTAGAGGAAGACTTGAAGTGAGGATCGCGGAGGCGCAGGGTCTGTTTACGCGATCGAGTCAGTCTCAACCATACGTGGTCTGTACCTTTGAAAGCTCAGAATTTATATCTGAAGGGCCTGAATCGCTAACGGTCAATGGAGCCACTGGTTGGAGAGGCGAGCCATCTTTAGAAGCGGAGAAGAAGGGCAAGAAGCCACTCTATACACGCCAATCATCTTCGCAACTGGACAAATTGAACTCAAAGGTTCTTGCTTCAGACAACAATTGTGCCAACCCAATATGGCATCATGAAACCACATTCGATGTGTTGGGCGCTCATTCGGAGCTTGACATATCAGTGTACGATGCTGCTCATGATGATATGTTTTTGGGTCAGGTGCGCCTACGTCCAGACTTAAACACATCTGCGACTTCTAAGCATGAACAGTGGTACAAATTGCAAAGCAGAATCATTGGCGAGAGTGTGTCTGGGCTTATCTTGATCAAATGGACGTTCAAATCCACGAAGAAGCGCCACTATGGACCCCAGGATTTCGAAGTTCTTCGCTTACTTGGTAAAGGAACGTTTGGTCAGGTTTACCAAGTACGGAAGAAGGATACTAAAAGAATCTATGCCATGAAGGTTTTATCCAAAAAAGTTATCGTAAAGAAAAACGAGATAGCTCACACAATAGGCGAGAGGAACATTCTTGTGCATACCGCTTCCAAGCTTTGTCCCTTCATTGTAGGGCTCAAATTTTCTTTTCAAACATTGAGCGACCTTTATTTGGTTACGGACTATATGAGCGGTGGTGAATTGTTTTGGCATTTACAAAAGGAAGGGAGATTCACTGAAGACCGTGCGAAATTTTATATTGCAGAATTGGTTCTTGCCCTCGAATATCTACATGAAAACGATATTGTTTATCGTGATCTGAAGCCGGAGAACATTTTACTAGATGCAAACGGGAATATCGCACTGTGCGATTTCGGACTATCAAAGGCCGATTTGAAAGACCGCACAAACACGTTCTGTGGAACAACCGAGTATCTTGCTCCGGAGCTACTTCTAGATGAGAGTGGTTACACCAAGATGGTTGATTTTTGGTCCCTGGGTGTCTTAATCTTTGAAATGTGCTGTGGCTGGTCACCATTTTTCGCTGAAGACAATCAAAAAATGTATCAAAAAATCGCTTTTGGTAAAGTCAAGTTTCCTCGCGATGTTTTGTCGCCTGAAGGACGTTCTTTTGTCAAAGGTTTATTGAATCGTAACCCCAGACACCGTCTGGGTTCCATCGATGATGGCAGAGAGCTGAGAGCGCATCCTTTCTTCGCAGATATCGATTGGGAAGCTTTGCGACTCAAAAAAATCCCTCCTCCTTTCAAACCTCATTTGGCAGGCGAAACAGATACCTCCAACTTCGATCCAGAGTTTACCCAAGCTTCTACTTCCTACATGAACAAGCAAGCGATCGCCGTGACACCTTTGTCGCCGGCCATGCAAGCCAAATTTGCTGGTTTTACCTTTGTGGACGAATCTGCCATGGACGAACATTACAATAATAACTACAACAGCCGGAAATTTTTACAGAACTCGTATTTCATGGAGCCCGGGTCCTTCATCCCGGGCAATCCAAACCTACCTGCCGACGAGGATGTTATCGATGACGAAATCGAACAAGACGTCGAACTCGACCCCAGCAAAGCCACAAGTGTGCACGAGCAAGTGGACTATGATGGTGACCATCATATGGACGACGAGTTTGTCAGTGGTCGTTTTGAGATATAAACAAGACAGAACAAACAAAAGTGGAAAGGAGACGTCTTTTGTTTGCTATGTACTCGACTCGACTGCCTTTTGTAGCATATAGAATTCCTAATGTCACGGTTAAACACTGGACACCATTCCATAGATTCAAGGCCGTGGGTCACGTGAAGCTAAGCGTCTGTTTTGGATCAGCTATAATGCTCATAAAGTCAGGAATTTAATGAATTGGGCTTAAAGTTGAAATAAGAAAGACCCACACAAAAAAACAAGGCTTACATCTCGATTTCAAGCTGGAATTTGCAGATACAACTTTTTGAAACCAGTAGCTGGACCATACCACGAAAGCAAGGTTTCTTTTGGTGTTAGTTTCAGAAGATTTGGTTCATTAGTGAAGACACAACTTGACAGAAAATAATAGGACCAGAAAGTTTACCGGCCAGCCTTCAAAAAAGCCTATTTCTATCCGGGATCTTGATCTTTGATAGCTACTTTACATCATGGACACAAGTGAGGATTTGCCCAATTCAAACGGAAACGAATATCCCGGGGCTTCTGGATCGAAAACTAACCAAAAAGCGGGCTCTAATGATTTCGTACGCAAGCTATTCAAAATACTCGAAGATGGGCAATATACCGAGATAGCGAAATGGAGTGATGATGGTGATAGCTTCGTGGTTTTGGATACAAACGCTTTCACCACACAGATTCTTCCTCAGCATTTCAAACACTCGAATTTCTCCAGTTTTGTGCGACAGTTGAACAAATACGATTTCCACAAAATAAAACGTACCACAGAGGAAAAGCAAAACTCGCAATATGGAGAGCATAGTTGGGAGTTCAAACACCCGCATTTCAAGATCCACGATGAAGAGCAGCTGGATAATATCAAGCGAAAATCGGCTTTGCAGAAAAAAATCATGTTGGATGAAAATACGGTGTTGGTGAAAAATCAAAACGGTTTTGACAATGGCCAATTAGATTCTACCACCGAAATGCTACTTAACAATACTGTCACAAAGTCAAAGTTCCATCAGATGAAACGCAGGGTCGAATTTCTAGAAAAGGAAGTGACGTACTTGAAAAACGAAAATTACGAGCTCAAACTAGGGTATCAGAAATCACAATCCCGTTATAACACACTTTTGGAAAACCTTATAGCCACAAAAGAATTCAGTAACGTCCTGGTGACGAATTTCAACGTTTTGATCAACAGTTTAACTTCTCAAGGCCTAGAGTTTCCGGCAACGCTCACTTTCAACGCGACGATGCCAACGACGAATTCCATCAAACCGGTTGGATCGCCACAAATGAGTTCTGCCGTCCCCACGCTGCCGGCGAAAAGGTCATCTCAAATAGAATCTGGCCCCCCTTCCACCACGCCACAGATGATTCTAGACCATCCAATACTGCGCCCTGGGTTTCATGTACTTTTGGTTGAAGACGATTCCATATGCATTCAGCTCTGTTCCAAATTTTTGATGAAGTATGGATGCACAGTGGAAGTTGTGACGGATGGGTTGTCGGCAATTTCAACACTCGAAAAATTCCGCTATGACCTAGTACTCATGGATATTGTGATGCCAAACCTTGATGGCGCCACCGCAACATCTATAGTCAGGAGTTTCGATAATCATACGCCAATCATCGCAATGACAGGTAACATTGAGGACCAAGATTTGGTTACTTATTTGCAGCACGGCATGAATGATATATTGGCGAAGCCTTTCACCAAAGACGATTTGCATTCAATGCTGATACGGTATCTGAGAAATCGGGTACCGCTGTGTGAGCAAAGGGAGGAGTCACAATCGAAGGAAGCGCCGACACCGCCGTTGCCACATGACACAGACGTCTCTAGTCTGATTCGTGAAGAACCTCTCACAAAAAAACAGCACGTTTAAAAGCTAGCATCGGGGATGTTATGCGCACAAGGACTTATCTACGACCGGTTTGTGTCGATACGACTTTTATAAAGACCTATAGTTATTTTGGTTATTGGGTATTTCTTTCTAACTTTCTATTTAAACAGTTGAGCAGTTTTATTCTTCAACTGCGGTCAATACGACGTCGTCAAACCTCACTGACTTCCTTCTCCGGTCAAAGCCAAATTCTGTAGGAATCTCTAAATCAAACTCTTGCCCGTTTTTCAATAGCTCAGATAGATCTGGTTTTGAACTTTTCAAGGAAGATTTACGTCTAGATGTGCTGCCAGGAGATACGGAGGTTTCAGAGAGTGAAATTGTTATATCTGTCTTGCGGTTTCGTCGAGCACTGAGATCTCTTTGACAGCGCGGGCAACTGCATAAGAAACCCCAATTTACCAATAGCTCTCTACGCCTCAGAGTGACACCGTGAAGAGGGTTCACATAGGTGGTGAAAAGCTCTTCGCCCTTCTTGATATTTTTCCTGGCAAAGACTTTTAAACCACTCTTGGCATCTAGCTCGTGTCTGACGTTCGGTTCACAGTTATGATTCAGCTGCGAGTATATTGTGAACAATTGACCCTCGAGCTGATTTATGTTAAACCTGCCAATGTACTCCAAATAAGTTTCGAGATCCAAACCTCCCTCTGCGCAGGTTGGAAAGGCTTTGCAGAATGAATCGAAGCTTTGAGACCATAGCCAATGCTTGTCAGAAGAGATCGCACCTGTTGATTTATCGAATGTTCCTCCTACATTCGTCGAGTCGGCTGCTTTTTCTCGCAGGCTCTGACTCACCTGTGCCAGAGACTCGAATTGTTTTCGAATGTGATTACCTTCCTGCTTGTCGAGCAAAATACGAGCGTATATGATACCAACGGCGTACGCCGAATGCATAGCATTTTCCCTGCAAACTTCCTCGAATGCTAGCCATCCTGCTGCATTCACTTTTTTATTCTTGGAGACCGGGTGCTTAAGAAAGCTGTGCGTTGCGCTGTCCAGACGTTTACAGTGTTTGGAACACCAAACTGCAGAGCATTGCTGGCAGTCTAGCATGTTTTTCACCGTGAACTGCGAGCTTTGAGTCAAGGAGTGTCCACAACTGGCGCACGATCGACCCTTTTCTGCCAGCGACGTTTTATCAAGAGGCAAAATATGTGTCAACGGCTCGTGCTCATAGAATATAACCTCGTCCTGTCTTAGATCCTTTTGAGCAAAAACAGACCAATTTAGTAACCCATTGTGAGATCTAGTTTCTCGTAATTGTATCTTTTCAGCTTGCTTGTCGTTCAAAGATGGGTGATGTAAGCTTCCCACTTGATCAGCGTAAGTGAAAGGAAGAGATTCATCCGAAAATGAAAGATTATGATGCAAAAGTGTATCGTCAACCTCTGGAAGCGTAATTTCCCACGTAGGGTTTCTCAATGTTAATTTCTCAAACAAAACCCCCATATCAACATCCTCAAAGGCAGGTTCCTGGCGCCATAAAAGCACGACATCATCACATAATTCCTCAGCTGTGGGTACTTTTTTGGGCTCGTTCAAAACCTCATTTTGACCAGATTCATCGTTAAGGTGGGCCTGCTCGATTTTCAAGGGCATTCCCACGATTCTCTGCTCGAAAAGCTCAAGAATTGTTAACTTGATGGTAGCTCATCGCCCTGCCATTTTGATCAATTTTCCACACCACTATACGATTAGAGAACGACAAGAAAGCCAATCAACAGACAAAAAGCTGTAACTTGAATAGTTTTAGCTTTCAAAGAGAGTGAAAATCACTCACCCCGGTACAGAACAGTTTAATGGAACACTGGAAACTATATTTGGAGGAAACTTGAGAAACTTGTATGCTTGTGGATGTTTGTCACTGTACACGAAAGGCTTGATTATGAAGATATAAGCGACGAGATGAGATGAGATGCCTTGAGAACGAGAGTTCTGTTTAAATACGACGGTTTGCAATGTTTAGAACAGCTTTGAGGAACAATTTGAGAGCCTATTCGGCTCCAGTGAAGAAATTCGTCGTTAAGCAACCTCAAAAATCCCGAAATTGGCTTCTATGGGCAACTTTTGGAACAAGTTTTGGACTCGGATGGCTAGTCACTCAACATATGACTTTTGCAGATATACTGGCAAAATACATGTATGATAACGTTCCTGAGAATGACGAAGGTCTTCTGAAATATAAGGCACAATTGCAGAGTCGGCTGGAACATTTGAACGTCGTCAAGCAATTGAAGCAGGTGGGATATACGGAAGTGTTCTCCGAGAGACAGAAGACCAATACACTGATAGACCGTACTTTAAGTGTACCTGGGGGCATAGGCATACCGCCACGGTTTTTTTATAATCCTGAAACTCGGGAAACAGTGGGTATCTATCATCTGGGCATGAAACTCACCGGATATCCCTTTTTAGTGCATGGTGGAGTATTGGCTACTGTGATGGAAGATTTGATGCGGGAGGCTGTGACATTTGCAAAGGGTGTACGTTCTGAGAAAACCCAGGATCTTACACTCAATTACAAGTTCCCTACTTTTGCAAACCAGTTTGTCATTGTCCGGATCACCAAAGTGGAAGAAAATGGTAAAAACTTGAAACTCCATGCAGAGCTCATGGATCAGAGCGGTGACCGCACTCTGGTGAAAGGAGTTGGCCGGTTCTCCACATGAGATGGTATCTTGCCTTCTCCGCGATCCTGGCATGCATGTTTATCTATCAACTACAACTTTTCAAATACATACATTAAACATTGGTTTGGTTTGGTTCGATCCAATGAATGGTGCCGTTACCACACACCACAGCGTCCATGTGATGATCGTGAGCCTCAGTGGGGACATACGGAACGACTTGTTCCTGGAGCGCCAAACCTACCAGTAACGGTCGTTTTCCATGCTGATGTACCGTTCGATGGATAAAATCATCGTAGAATCCAGCTCCATGGCCCATTCTTGCCCCAGTTTCGAGACAAAACGCTACACCTGGAACTAGAACAACGTCGAGGCTTGGAGGGTGTGGATGTGGCTCTTCCAGAGGCGGTTCAAGTAGCTGGTATTTGCCTTGTGGTTGCAGGTTTTCCACCTGTGCGATATTGCGCATTTCATGGAACGTCAAATGCGGATGAGATTCAACGCCCTGTCTTAAAACCTGGTGTCCACTGGCCCTGGTGTTAGTGCATCTTGGCAAATACACTTTTTTGTTAGTATCGAATAAGTACCGTATAATAGGCAAGGTGCGCACTTCTCCACGACCCATATCCATGAAACATGCCACAGACGAGTAAGGTTTTAAAACCGATTTTAAAACATCTAGAATAAGCTGGGATTGGTGATCCAGAGATGACTGTGGAATCCGGCGAATTAGGCTTTTTATCTGCGGTCTTAGAACCGATTTTGGAGTCGGCATAGTTGAAAGCAATTATTGAAGGACCACAGACTGTTCGAGGAGTGGTACGAGTTGATATATGACCCTGTTTATTTTTATTTCTTTATGCCTGTAATGACCTAGACACTGATGGTTCTTATATCGACAATTCAAGCTAAACTATGGTCAACCAGATATAACCGTCAGACTTGAATCAATGACTAACCGGCTTTGAAAGGTGTTCAATTGCCTGAGGTTCGGTTAAGTACTTGCTGGGTCGTCAAGAGGATGCGGCGACAGAAGGTTCGGGATAGGTTATCGATGGTGGGTTGTAGCGATGAGCTATTAATTAGTAGTTCTCACTGACTATTTGAACTGGACAAAACAGCGACAATTGTAACTGGCAGAAGAAGGATCTAGTAAAGGTTCAAAGATGGCGAAGGGTTTGGAGCAAATTTCAGGTATGCAAGTAAAATTAGTGGTGAGAGTATTTGAAAGTGTGACTTGTGTGGGAAGCTAGACACTCGAATAGGAACAACAGACTTTAGAAGATAGGCATATTTTATAGATTCCAGTAGTTTGTGAGTTTCTTGCAAATGACAATTGGTACGCGGAGTATAGTGCTTTTTTGAATGATGAAGCAGCGTCATGTCCTGGAATCCCACTTGAGGATCTGAAGATTGCCAGAAATCGTGATTTCTGAGAAAAAGTAGTTGGATTTCAGAGCTCACAGTATTTCACCCTATTTCTAGTCTTATTTCTATACAATAAATGGACTGTTTCGGTTTCCTTTCCTGGAGACGTCTAGCTGCAGAAATGGGATTTCGACGGGGAAATTTCACCCCACGACACCGCATTGAAAGCACTGAATTGAGCCGCCAACATACACAAACTGATATATTCAATGGATTTTATAAGACTTTACACCGCCCGTTCATAGCTCTGTTCGGATTTGTCCGTTCTTTTGGTCAAATTGACTATATATTAATGTCATTTTAATGACACATTAATTACACTGACGCCAACATTTTTAACATCCAAACTGCCACCTACCACCAATCCGGCGTTGATTACTGCTCAACCAGAATGCACCCATTCTCTCTTGACAATATCCTTAGTGAAGCTGACCTTCTTAGGACTTCTCTGTGACTCTTAAATTGTTCTTTTAGCGCCATAATCAACCACTTACTGTTCACGATGGATACGAATCTGTCCCTTTTTTCTCCTCCATCACGTCAAACAATCGGTATACTGTGCGCTTCTATGACTTTCGAGACATTCCACGACACGCTATTCAGGACTTGTCGCACAACAAACGCGGTATTTGACATACCATACCCCGGCTCACGCGAATTATGAAGCCCTTTGCAGCTACAGTTCCGTCAACCACGACCACTGCTACTGCTACTACTACCACTATCTTTGATAGTTTTCACGCACAAACAATCCCTTTTCCCTCAGTTTCTGCTACCTCTGTGCAACCCATTAGTCTTTCAAAAAAACTCCAGTTTTCACGCACAAACGCAATCGATTCTTTACCGCGTAATCCAAACCCACTGAGCTACCTCCCAACCTACCTTGAGTCACAGACGTTTCTATCATTGTCGTTGTGTCATTCAAACGCCCATTCTTTGACGTGTTAGCCTCTCGGGCCTGACTCACGCCGGTACCGGCGTTTCTGGCTTTTTATTGCCCTCTTATCTCACGGTTATTGTCCACGGCTTGAAACCTTCACATGCCGGTACCGGCCTCTAAAAAAAAACTGGTCAATATTTCAGTTACATGCAAGAAATCGACTGACTGGCTGAACTGACTCACTTCAACATCGAAACAGATAAAACTGGTTGAGACGTTTACCTTCGGACTAAAGCTGAAACAAACATCTTGTGACTACGGATACTATACTTTTGGTCAAAACCACAAGAAAAAACACACAAATATGCTAAGAACCAACCAGTTAAGATTCGCTGGCAGACTTTTCAGCAGTGCTGCTACCAGAGGGATGCCAGCTGGACTTGACTCGAGCAAACTACAGATTCAGACGAACTCGAAGCCTTCGAGTCCAAAAGCTAACAATGAATTGGTTTTCGGCCAGAGTTTCACAGACCATATGTTGACCGTTGAGTGGACGGAAAAAGACGGTTGGGCCGCACCTAAGATCCAGCCATATGGGAACTTGAGTTTGGACCCTTCAAGCGCTGTTTTCCACTACGGGTTCGAGCTGTTCGAAGGTCTAAAAGCTTACAGAACTCTGGACAACAAAATCACCATGTTCAGACCAGACATGAACATGGCCCGTCTCAACAAGTCGGCAGCTCGTATTTGCTTGCCCACCGTTGACGGGGAAGAGGTGATCAAGCTAATGGGCAAACTTATCGAACAGGACAAGCATTTGGTGCCCGAAGGCCAGGGCTACGCCTTGTATCTCAGACCAACGATGATCGGTACCACAGCAGCGTTGGGTGTTTCGTCACCAGACAAAGCTCTACTTTTCGTCATTGCTTCCCCCGTGGGACCTTACTACAAGACTGGATTCAAAGCCGTGAAGCTGGAAGCCACTGACTATGCCACCAGAGCATGGCCCGGTGGTTGTGGTGACAAAAAACTTGGTGCCAACTATGCACCATGCGTGCTACCTCAGAAACAGGCAGCCGAGAGAGGTTACCAGCAAAATCTGTGGTTGTTCGGTCCAGAGAAATACATCACCGAAGTGGGTACAATGAATGTGTTCTTCGTGTTCAAGGACGCCAAGACCGGTAAGAAAGAGTTAGTCACCGCCCCTCTAGACGGTACCATCTTGGAAGGTGTCACCAGAGACTCCATTTTGTCGCTCGCCAGAGAGAGACTGAACCCTGAGGAGTGGACTGTCTCTGAACGTTACTACAGCATCCATGAAGTCGAGCAAAAGGCCGCTAATGGCGAATTGGTTGAAGCCTTTGGTGCAGGCACTGCAGCTGTTGTGTCTCCGATCAAGGAAATTGGCTGGAACGGCAAAGACATCAACGTTCCTCTGCAACCCGGCAAACAAGCCGGTGCTTTGACTGAAGACGTGGCAAGCTGGATAGCCGATATTCAATATGGCAGGGTCAAGCGTGGCAACTGGTCTCGCGAGGTCACGGGCCCTCTGTGATTTCTTTACACACACAAAGAACACGCACAACCTTTGATTCATCAAACAGAAAATTAATATATACGGCAATAGATTTTAAAACACGGATATGTGTCTTTCTGTTTCTCCGAACCAAACTATGGACCGAAGTTTAGGTGGAAGTTGTTGAAGAGCTATGAAAGTGCACGCTAAAGTCAGGCACTGAAAAGCTACACAAAGAAGATCCTGTTAAGCGAAGCGGTATTTCTAAACATGTAAGAAACCAGTAAATAATGGCATTAAAGAGCTCTGGGCTTTGCTTCAGTAGCGCAACAGGTGTGCTTTCTGGTTTACCGCGGCAGAATAGTATATAGTGATGTCATTTAATCTCCGAAGAGAAGTAAGCGTTAGTTGATTTAATAAACACTTTAAAAGCACACCAATTCATCGCCTATGTTCATCCAGAAGAATCGCCGTGGTGATTCACCGCTTGGGCTTGCACTAGCTGAAAGAACTCATAGTGAATTTGTGGTTTTATTCGCCTGAACGTTAGAATAAGCCGTTATTTAAAAACTGAACATTGAGGGACGCTTCAAAAAGCTATGGAAGCTCATTCTACTGAATTAAAGGCACATACCACACTTGAAAACATGCTGAAGTGCTAGGTCATTGGCGAATACAGACTGCCTTATAGTCCGGCTTGTCCTTATTAGGTCTTTGTGGATGGAAAATGGACAACGGTAGCCTGTGGAAACTATACGGCTAATTGAACGATAATGACAAGTCCGATTTCATTGACTCACGTTTGTCGCTAGCCATAGCTGCTGTCTGCTGCTACGCGAGCATTTTGCTCCTTAAGGCCTTTTATTTCTTCCACGAGTATCAAAAAACGGACATTTACGAATACAAGATCGTTGCTCATTGACGGGAAGCTGTTTGTAAACTGCAGCGTTGCTGGGTCCCCAAGTTATATGTCTACACTGGCCTCTTGGCAGCAACATCCGGGCTTACGTAGGTCACAAATACCACTCTTGGCAATCAAAGTCAAACGGCTGCGATCATGACAAGAGAGGTACAACGCGCACTTTATGCTTTCTTCGAGATTCGGTACTAGAGCACCTAGTAGGATCAGTCCGGAACGTAGGGAAATTTTCTCCGAGCACGACCGCTTCAAGAACAACGCATTTTTTTGAGAGACGAAAGCCCTACAAGGATTATCACTCGGCATCCACGAGGCCGTTAATAGAAGATTGATGTCAGCTCCCAACAGACGTAGGCCGTTGCTGTGCAGGACAAACAGTGGGATCTCACACTGCTCAGAGCCAGTCAGAGCATAAGCTCCTCGGCTTCAACATTTAACGTCAACGATCTGCATGGTAAGCCGCGCCTAAGGGAATCTAATAAGTTGAAAGACACTGTGGTGGTGACTGCGATACCACTCGTAATGCTTAAATCACAAGGCAGCGCGAACGGTTTACGCTCGACAGTTTCTCTCCAGTGCAGCATACAGTGGACTTGCTGCATATGTGGGCACCCGGCCTCGTTGCAGATGACGATAGGCTTCCTGCAGCAGAATCGTAGTGACGACTCGTGGCTTTCGAAAATTACTGTTCCGTGCCTTGGAGTACGAACGTCTGCATAAACACCGCAGGCGTTATGCTAGCAGGGCTGGCAGAGCTGGCACAGAAGCTTTACTCGGATATTCAAGAAAAAGGTGATTTGTTTTCGCTCTTAAGTGTCTCTGAATCGAGCTTCAGCAATACGAAGGTTGGGCGATTTTCTTCGAGACCCGCCTCTTGATCATATCCTGCGACTCCCGCTGGCTGGTCTGATGTCAACAATTTCAGGAGTGTTGCATGCTGAAGAAAGCAATCTGCGCTGATGAAATGCACAGGTCAAAGACCCGTCTCTGATGAATTCCGCATATGCACCATTATGCACGCTTACTTAATATGACAGCTCGAGGAATTTCCTACTTCTGCAGGATCTTTCCATGGCACGATAACATGTGGAAGATGAAGGTCTGGAAACTGACTAGGATAGAGAGAGAGGATGAGCACAGGAGAACATAAAAGGATGACACTCGAGGCCTTCGCATGTTAGGTCCGTCGAGCCGTGCTCTTTGCGCGCTTGTACTGGATTTTTCTTGGTTTTCTTCCTCTCTACTTTCGAAAACCAACATTCCAATATGCTGGTAACGAAGACCTTAGGTTTTCTCCTTCTAGCGGCTTGCCAGCTAGTCTGGGCAGCCTCGGTCGACCAGGGTGCGATCCAGGGATGTAAACCAACCCTGCTAACGTCTGGTTTTTCTGTCACCTTCTACAGTATGCCTATTCGTGTTGGCAGCAGTCCCTGCTACGATCCGATTTACTCAAACTCTGCATACCTCCATGGTGGCTACGAAACTTACGGGTACGGTGAACAGGGCAGGAGTTCTGGTGTGACAGACTTGACATTCGATTCGGGCAGTGTGAGCGGTAGCTGTTCCATCGTGAAAAGATACATGCCTAGCAACTACAACTATCCAAACTTGTTGACGGTCACAAACTTCTCTATGCTGGTTACAGGTTACTTCTTGCCGCCTGAAAGTGGTACCTACATCTTCGACCTCAATTACGTCGATGACTTGTCATACATCAACGTAGGAGCAGGCAATGCTTTCAATTGTTGCCAAGTCGGCCAATCGGTATCAAACCCCGGCCCCTTCACTCTTTTTGCGATCTGGCCCCAAACCTCCAGCACAATTAGTGTCGATTTGATCGCAGGTGTTTACTATCCTATTCGTCTCTTCTTCGTGAACCGAAACTATCTTGGTGGATTGAAGTTCTATTTTAACGACCCGCAAGGCGTTCAACATACAGATTGGGCAACCTACATTTTTTCCACACCAGACGGGCCCAATTGTGACGTACCAGCAGACCACACCAAGGTAGTGTGGACTGAATCGTACACTTCTTCTTATACTACCGTTTCTACGTTCACTAATTCCCTGGGACAGCTGACGACAAACAATGTCATTGTCGAAGAGAGCCCCACCACTTATCAAAGCACGAGTAGATCGACAAGATCGTACAGCGGCTCTGTGACCACGACTTATTCGACTACACTTGTCACAGTGACCCGAAGCGACGGTTATCGATCTGTTGACACAGTCTACTATGTGGAGACTCCAGTCGTAGCCAAGAGCTCAACTTCCATCAAGGGATGGACTGGGTCGGTAACGTCGACATACTCTACTGCATTGACAACGTTCACCGGGTCTGATGGTATCCCAACGATAGAGACAGTCTACTACGTGGAGACTCCAATCGTCGGTAAGAGCTCGACCACAACGAAAGGATGGACTGGCTCAGTGACCTCTACCTACTCGACCGCTATAAGCACCTTCACTGGGTCTGACGGTATTGCTACAACCGAGACAGTCTATTACGTGGAGACTCCAATTGTCGGCAAGAACTCCACTACTGTCACCGGATGGACTGGGTCAGTGACCTCTACCTACTCGACCGCTATAAGCACCTTCACTGGGTCTGACGGTATTGCTACTACGGAGACTATCTACTACGTCGAGACCCCAATTGTTGGCAAGAACTCCACTACTGTCACCGGATGGTCTGGGTCAGTAACATCTACCTACTCCACAGAGTTGACCACCTTCACCGGTTCAGATGGTATTCCAACCACCGAAACAATCTACTACGTGGAAACCCCAATCGTCGGAAAGAACTCCACTACTGTCACAGGATGGACTGGGTCAGTAACATCTACCTACTCCACAGAGTTGACCACTTTCACTGGTTCTGACGGTATTCCAACGACCGAAACTATCTACTACGTTGAGACACCGATTGTT